TATATGTATATATATATATATCACTTATTACCCTCTAGATTCCTATTTGCCCGTGCTCTCGGTGAATTGTACACGAAACAAACTCTGAATGAGAATAATGACAACGATAAAAGATATAGCACAACAGCTCTGATCACAAAATGCAATTGCAGACTGCTGAGCGCTAACAACTTCTGGTGACGCAGGTCACGCGCCACCGTAGGTTAAAGATGACCTGCTTTATTTTGTTTTTTAAATACTTTTTTGTGAAAGTGAGACTGATTGAATGATTAGGGTGCAGTGTACATCAACACAAAAATATCTTACTTACATGCACAAAGACACACAAATGGTTGTTTGTTTGTTTGTTTGTTTGTTTGTTTTTTCTCATCTACATCCCTCTTGATCTAATTGGGACCAGGCTGCGACAATCTACTGGTCGATGTAATGGGCACCCCTGATACAATACATGCCGTTTTGTTTCTTTGGTGTATACTACCGCCACCTACTGTACATATATAGTTAATGCAGCCTTTTCAAGCAAGCAGAGGAAGCCTGCTGTTGCCTGTTTTAACCCCCTCGAACAAACAGTTTATCGTCATTAGTCAGAAAATCAGGCATCCGTCAGTGACAGACTGCATGTGACGATGTAACATGATGTCCAGCTTCCACTGTTAAACAGTCTGGGGTCTGTGTTGTCACATTTCACGCTTCATAATGTGCCATACATTTTTAAATTTGAGACGGGTTCGGACTACAGGCGGGCCAGTATAGTATCCGCACTCTTTTACCACAAAGCTTATGTGCACACCTGATTATATTGTTGATTTGACCTGCAGAATTGCATTAAAAACAATCTGATCATTTTCACTTCCCTGTGATCAGCAGAAAATTATATGGTCGACCCCGATTGGATGTTGGAGATTCAACTTAGTTTTAGGATTTGCCATTAAACACATAACTCAACTGCACTTGACTAAACTTTAAGAGATGAATTTTATTGACCCTAATACCTTTGTGCTCAGCAGCCCCTGCGCCGACCCGACTCGTCAGATGACCGCTATGTCATGACCAAGCATGCTTCAATCTACCCCTCAGAGGAGGAACTGCAGTCTATTCAGAAGATTGTGTCAATCACAGAGCGTGCCCTCAAACTGGTTTCAGACATAATAACAGATGAGGACAAGGTCAAGGAAGAAGACAAAGAAAAGAAAGAACCACCAAAAGATAGGTGTGACATTGACAGGTATGCAAGCAAATATAATTTTTGATTGTATCCAGTAACTGGAAACCTTGCAACTTTGCATTGTCACATTTAATGAGTTCGATGAACACACTTATATTGTTACTGATTGATAAAATGGCGGGGGGGAGGGGTGTCCCAATGCAGTACAATTGCATTCATAAAGGGTTCCCGCAAAATTAATTTCACACCCCCGAGCCTTTGTGGTTTGATTTTGAAATGGATTGTTTTCGGTATTACTGCGTGGCTGTTACCCAGAAGCAGAGAAGGTCAAAAATTGTCTGGGAGTTGTTGTCCTCTAAATGTGTGTGACCCACATGCATATAAAACGTATAAAATCACTAATAAATTACGCTGATTAAAATTGTATAAAATAATCCACCAGCTCACATCAGTGGCTTGTAGCTAGCAGCCAGCTGTTGCCGGGTGGTTGTTTGCCCTCCCGGCCGCGCACATTTGTAGGCCAGGTAGGCTCACGACAGCTGACATGCTGCTTTTACAAAAGGCAGTTTTAATAGGTAAAAACTCCTACCTTAGGTGCTGACAACCTGACACAAACTCTTTTTCCATTTCCTTCTGAAATGTACAAAATGCAAACTGCACAATAGCAAACTGGCAATGGAAACACAGCATTTCGGAAAACCTCTTGAATATTGCAAAAAAAAACAAAAGGTTTTACTCTCTTATGAGTTGGTTTTTGTGCCGTGTCCGTATGGAAATATTTTGCAAGAGTGTTCTACTCGTCATGTGACCCTGCACGAGAGGTTCAATATTATGTTGCTCGGGTCATTCTGAATCCATAACTCGTTGGTGAATTCCTTGTTTACGATCCTCACCCAGAAATCCCTGACACGTGGCTACTGCCATACCTAAATACTTTGCCTTGGAACGATCATCCGCTTCCTTCCTCTTCTGCAGTCAGTCAAGGCAATAGCAGTAGATGCAGCCAAAGTAATCATCACAACTTGGAGGATTCGCAAACCACTGTGGGCATCCATCTTCTGCAAACAAACCTCCCACAACAACATTTTATGAGATTTGTGGGATCTCGCGAGGCGGGATGTTATGAGAATTATGCCTCAGAAGCCAAACATTTTTCAATGGAAACCCCTACAAGTAGATTTTGTTTTTTTTTTTATGTTGCTTTTCTTTTGCTGAAAACTGTAATGGACACCCAACTCGTTGCAGTTCCTACTGATCTATTTTTAACAATTCAGTCTTACTCAAATATTTTGAATCACAAGGCAAAATGTGACTAGTTTTAATTATCCTGTTTAATTCCTGTTCAACAAATGCAATATTAATCAGATTGGTGCAGCGAATGTATTCTTGCAGAAAAAATATTTTGTTTCCCTTGAAGTAAATGAAGTAGGAAATATTTTAATATTTGATTTGAACTTTTTCTCAATGTTATCATTATGATTGCTGTTTCACTTACAATCTTTGTTTTGTATCCATATAGAGCCCTGAAAGGTGTGATGAGGGTGGGAGTCTTGGCAAAAGGTTTGCTTCTTCGTGGCGACAAGAATGTCAACTTAGTCCTGCTCTGCTCAGAGAAGCCCACCAAGAGTCTCCTTACACGAATTGTGGAGCTCCTCCCTAAACAACTAACAGTACTGTCTTTTTAATTCCCATTTCATTGATTTCTCAACTGACCACTTCAAGCCTTTCAGGGACGGCGGTTATTACAGTGGACAGCTTTTCGTGTTCTCGGGTTACAGGTTGCATGAAAGGGTTATTAATTAATTGGTGCTTGCAGCTCAATAATTTCAACCAAAAATTTAAAAAAAAAAAATCTTCAAATTTGACAAACCCAAACTTTTTTTTTTTTTTTTTAATTACGGTACTTTTTTTTTTCTTTTTTTTGCAACAATAATTATGATTTGTGAGCAATCGAAGGTATTTAGTGCCCGAGTTAGCTTTAGGCTTTAGTCTGTCTGTTAGCTGTTTATAAATATATAAGCGTGGACTTCATACAGGCAGTCAATGAGGTACATTTAGCCTTGTGCATTATAAAAATCTATCTACTATACAAAATTGCATCATACAGTGGGTAAAAAAAAAAAATCTGTGCCTAATATGATAGCAAATGCATACAGGTGGTCAAAAATGACTATGGTTCCCTAGCACTCCATATGCTTGTTGTTTTGATTCCTTTACACGTACTTGTATCTTTCCAGATAGTAGCACCAGAAAAATATGATGTCCAAGGGTCTCTCCAAGAAGCAGCCATCATTCTTACATCCTGTGCAGAGCCAAAGATGCAAGTGACCATCACTTTGACTTCACCTGTCATCAGAGAGGAAAATGACCGGGACGGAGGTCTGGCAAGCCATAACAGCTTATCTTATTCCTCCTGATATTGTCGTTGCTATTTCCCGAAGAAATCATTTCCAGTATGTTGGTTCACACTGAGAGCTCTGTGCTGCTGGCATGCCACAAAAATATTTGGGGCCTTAAAGAAGCAACCTGGCACCTTGTTCTTTCATGTCAGAAACATCTGGCTTCAAAAGTTGAGGAAAAAAAAGAGCGTCTTTCTTTCAGGCTTTGTTTATATAAATGCTTGTAAAACCGCAACGGGTTCAAATAATTTTCTTGGACATATTCAAAGTAAGGTGGGAGGCTAAAATACTTTTTTTCCCCCCTTTAACTTGTACTCTATTGCAATTGCTGGAGAGATCACTTTTGGGATGTAAAGCAAAAGAGGGTGCCAGCAGTATTGCTCTTGAGTCTTTCCGCTCTTTAACTCTTCTCAGAAGCTATCCCTTTCAAGCAGAGCATGATCAGTGTTTGCATTGTGATAAATAGTTATACCTTGGAGAAATTTTGTTTCCTGTGTTCTCAGGGATTCTGGCTGTATTTTAATTAGAATATATTTTTAATTAAAAATATTCAAGGATTTATTTTTTATTTTTTTCAGGAATCAACAGTTACAAACTTTTGTTTTTAAACATAAGATATATTCCTTCATTGTGTCATGCAAAGTGTAGGGTGTTTCTTTTGTTTTTGTTTTGTTTTGTTTTTTTGCAACCCAGCATTCAAACCAGCATTTGGCTCATGGCAGATCAGAATCCCCTCCACTGCAAATGAGGAGAAAATCAACTTTCCACAGGAAACAAATCGCATTCTTGTGTTCTGGTGACCAGTTCACCATGCTGTCTCTTGATTCAAAGTGCTCCCCTGAGTAGATCTGACATGTTTTGAATTCAAAATGTGGCTCAACACATGTAAGGGACACATACGTCCAGCAATGCCAGATTCACACAACGTCTTAGCACCTTAGCCATGAGCTCTAATCTTGGAAATGAGACGAATAAATTGTTTTCTTAGGGGAGTATTATTGAGGCTAAGGTATGAAGGCTTTGGTAGACTGGTTGGTTGGACCTGCATACAGCCTTTGACAACAACCATTGTCTGTTGAGGTCTTATTCCAGCCCACTGATGCCAGGTATGCATGCAGTGATATCCTAACCTCTTGATTGCTGGCATTGTTTTTCTCTCCTTCAGCACTCATCGCTACTTCATTTTGGTCATTTTTCACGGTATCCATATGTTGAGCAAAATGACCCGTATTTTTTTTTTGTTTTGTTTTTTGTTTTTTTGCTTTTGCTTTGACCAAAATAAAAAGAAAAAATTCCATTGATTTCTCCCATCAGAGATTTAGTAGGGCCCAACAGTTCCGGAAGGATTTTTGACCAAGGTTTTCCCACACCCCAAAAATGTTGCCACACCTACCATTGCCATGCCGCTTTTTATCAGGTCGCTGTCATAGGTCTTGGCCTTTACTTTTCTCTTTAAAACACCTTTTAATGGTCATCCAGATCCATCAGCTTTCCCTGTGTTGAACTGAACGTCTACTTTTTCTCTTGATCATTGAAGAAAAGTAAATTTTCAACAACTCTTATTACCTGATAAAATGGTAATGGCTGCAAATAGCGTCAGCCTAAAGTAGCGTGGACTCAGTTGCTCGACTATGGTGGTTTCAAAATAAAGCAATCTACTATATTGAGTTAAAAACTAAATCTAAATCAAATGAATTTGCATCCAGTCTTAGTGTGAAGTTACCCAGTAAGTCAGATTGTTAATGGTGGTATTGTTGTTCATAGTATTAATGTTGAAGGAAAAAAACTAAATGTGGGTTGCTTTGTGAAGAATCGTTGGTATGTGTGGCAATGTGTTTGCTCTTTGCCAGCCTTGCTGACCTGGTCAAACACCCATTCCTCATCAACATTTTTGACACTTCAAATCCATTTTTAGATGTAACTTCGGGTTTGGTGAAAGACCCAGCGGACGTCTTGGACAGGCAAAAATGCCTTGACGCTCTGGCTGCTCTGCGCCACGCTAAGTGGTTCCAGGTTCGGAACATCATTTTACTTTATTATTGTAGCCTTATGAGATGCATTATTTGTTGAATTTCTTTTGATTGTACACATTTGAATCTCCTATTACTGGGGAAAATATGCACTTAAAAAAAGATGCCTTTGATGAATTTAATTAGTGACCATTTTCTGTCCTAAATATGAATGCTGTCTGAAAATTGGCATCCTACTTTTTGTCTTTTCAATTGTATTTGCAAAGGATTCCATAAGGCTGCACGATAACTCGCACCAAGTTGTGTGACAGAGTTTGTATCGTTTATTCGATTTATGTACGAAATGGGGATTGAGAGACAAAGGAAAGTCTGATTAGTTTCCTGTGATGTCACTTCCCGTGCTAAATCACAGGTACATTATTTCAGACTTCCTGCGCTCCTTCAGTCTCCATTCTCTCTCAGATGAATTCTTGTATTTTGAAAGACATGTTTGTGGGTTTCCTTGATAAACCTTGGGGTCACGGTTTAGAAGATGGCAAGGAAAGTCCTCATTTCTTGTGCATCTTGCAAACTTTGAACTCTCTTACTAACTGTGGAGGTACAAGACTACTGGCAATGGCAGCTGATTGCAAGTTTTGATGGCTCATTAACGCCTTAAACCATACTCAAGCTTCCATTATGCACAGTAGTTGTTGGACCGCTAAGAATGAATTCCACAACTCTTTCTTGATTTGCCACATGAATGGATAACTTTATTATATCACAAGGCTAGAGCAAATGGACTGCAGTCGTGCGTGATTATCATTCGGATACTCCGAGACCTCTGTCAGCGAACTCCAACCTGGTCGTCCTTCCCAGGATGGGTGAGTGTCCCCCCTTCTTAGGATGATGACTTGTATGACAAAATGATGACAATCACAAAAATCCTACTACGGTCTTGTCCATAGCTGTGACTAATCGGGCACTGTTAGGTCTGTGGAAATACTCTTAGGAATCAATTGATCTCTCGATTTCTGACCCACGCTTCAACTGACAATCCATTTTTTTCCACAAAGAAATCCAATACACACATAATCAACCTCACCCGCGACCCTAATGAGGATGAGCCATACAGAAAATGGATAACAGATGGATAATATATATATATATATATATATACGGGCACTGTTAGGTCTGTGGAAATACTCTTAGGAATCAATTGATCTCTCGATTTCTGACCCACGCTTCAACTGACAATCCATTTTTTTCCACAAAGAAATCCAATACACACATAATCAACCTCACCCGCGACCCTAATGAGGATGAGCCATACAGAAAATGGATAACAGATGGATAATATATATATATATATATATA